TGAAAGAGGGGAGATGGAGATGAGCTATTGAGGAGAAATGTTTTCCTGTGCGGGGGGTGAGGCAGTGGCCCAGGTTGCCCAGAGAAGCTGTGGATGCCCCATCCCTGGAGGGGTTCAAGGCCAGGCTGGATGAGGCTTTGGGCAACCTGGGCTGGTGGGAGGTGTCCCTGCCCATAGCATGGGGTGGCACTCGATGGTCTTCAAGGTCCGTTCCCACCCAAACCATCCTGGGATTCTAAGATGTATCTAACCACGTGACTTTCGTGCTCACACAGCTGCATCCTCTTGGGTATCTTGCTGTTTGTGGACATCTTTAGATGTCTGACTTTGAGGATATCAGTCCTGATTTTCTGGCTAGAGGCTCTCCCATCAGTGGGTGCTGTGAGTGGTCAGCAGGAGGAATTATCAGACTTGGGGCATCACAGAGGAGGACTTTCAAGGGCAGACACACATAAGTCACCCTCTGAAAATAAAAGATGCTGGAGGCAGAGCTGAGCCTTCTGACTCTCCGAGTTGAACGATTAGCTTACCAGAGTGGGAGGAAAAGATTGAATTCTAGAAGTTACCTGATGGTCCAAACACTCTGTGTTACGTTGATGGAGAGAGAATCTAAAAATGGGGCAGAGGAAAGGGAGGGGAAGGATTCGTCCCACTTTTTGAAAATTTAAGAACCTTTATGAGTGTTTACGTTGCAAAACGAGAAGGACACAGAAAGACAAATGTAGCAACAAAACCAGTGCCAGGAATCTGGTTTGTGTGTTTTGCAGAAAATGTCCAAAGTTCCTTTTCCTAAGCTTGCCTGAACGGAGCGAGGCAGCAGCGCACAGGGCACAATAAATCCACCCAGAGGGATTTTTTTAGGTATAACTATTTTCTCCTGTACGTTTTATTGTTGCTAAGAACCTTGAACACAGCCCAGGATTAGCACGAACAGGAACGGTGTCCTTCCTGAAGTACAGAACAGGCTAGTGAGGAGCAAGTACGTGCTGAATGCATCCAAACCTCTGAAACAATCCGTCTTTCAAGCTGTAGACCTTCACAATAGTGGGTCAGCCTCCACCATCTCCCAGGCAGGCAGCAGGCATCCAAGCCTCTCCACATGGCCAGTTTCTCAGCTGATACAAACTGGAACATCACCAATTATATCAGCACAATGATATGCATTGAAGCCTTTGGTATCTCAGCCAGTGGCTCGGAGCACGCACGTATTTTTCATAGAGAGGTGATTAACAGCACGGAGGAAATAGATGGCGCTTGTTACGATAAATCACCACCTTCCCCAAGCCCTCAGCCTCAACACGCTCACGGGTTCCCAGTGCAATAGGTTAAGTATTTTCTTTCCAGTGCCAGCCCTTGTAGGGGATTGTAAAGCAGGGTGCATTCCTTATAAATGTATCTTTGTTGGCTGCACCGGTCCTGAGTGAGGCTCTGTGTTTAATTATTTATGCTTTCTTATATTACCGTGGCATTTAAAGGTTCCAACCAAGATAACGGCCCCGTTGTCCGTGCGTGTACAAGACGGGCGTCCCTGATCCACACCCCAGCTCAGGAAAACGTCCGTGGTCAGGAAAGTCTTTAAGAAGTCTAATAAGACTTAAGTGCATGCTGAAAGTTAAGCGTGTGCTTATGCACGCCAAGCCCCAATAAGCTCAGACTATGAACAGCATATTTACAGTCATCGGTGATAAATGTCTCCTTTATTTAATTTATTTTTTTTTTCACCTGAAAGGGGTTATTCTTCTTGAATTTGTGGAAGCTACTGTGGATTTGATCCTACCGTTTAAGGGAAGCCAGTAGGGGACTCAGTTGTACAAATAAAGCAGAGCTGGACTCTAAAAAAAAATAAATAGAAGATTGCATTTGGATATTGGTGATCCTTTTACTTCTCACAAGGAAAAGATGATGCCTGGTGTGACTGTGTTGAAAGGAAGATGGTTCATTTGGGAATGGACCTTTGGCTGGAGTATTTTGCAAGCGTTACACTAAATTCTAGCATTTATTAGCTTCATGAAGGAAGTCTCTCAAGCTTAAAGAGCTTCCAATCCATCCAGCCCTGTGCTTGGAGATATGGTCTGAGCCTGACTCCAGATCCACCTTTCCTTGACACCGGGGGAAGGGAACAAATGTCCTGGGAGTGGTGTGCTGCAGGAAACCCTTGTCTGCTTCAAACAGCATCAGTTGGCTAGAGCAGGTATGAGCTCAAGCACTACAGGTTATGTCTTTCTACAGTAGTGCTGAAGGACAGGCACAGGAACTTGATGATTTCTCCTGCCACGTCCATGACCCATCTCAGGTCCAGACCTGAGCATCTCCCAAGCATGAACCAAGAGGTAACTTAAGCCTGGACCACTTGTGGCCAGGAGCTTGGGAAAGCAAGTTGCTCTGTTTTGGAGGTTGGAAGAGTTTAGGAGGTTGGACATGTCCAGACCATGGCATTCGTCTTCCAGAAGATGCTCCCTGCCACTGTTTGCTTTACTATTTGGACTACAGAAGAGACATGAGACTGAGATCAGGCTTTGCTAGTCCAAATTATGCTTGAATATTTAAAAACTCCTTCTTCCACCCTTCTTTAGCCTGCTTCACTTGGTCTCATGGTACTGGAGCCCTCTAATCCCCCTACTCACCCCATCTGACCTGTGTTTTTTTGCAGGACTCCCTGCTGTATTTGTTACAGCGTGGGCCAGCGTGAGAGCCACTCTAGCCGACACAGAGTAAGTCGCATTGGATTTTCTTTTCTCCCTTTTACATGTGATGCTTTGGTGGGTTTTTTGGCAAAGGTAAATTTGTGGGTGAACCAAAAGGAAAAAAGGAACCAGGCAAAGCCAGAAGTGATTTCTCATATGAAGTTAGGTGTGGATGCCTGTAGGTCCTTAGATATAAAAAGCATCTGTACAAACTCATGGGAGATAAATTCCTCCAGAAGTATTAAATACCTAGTAGTGTTCTGTCTCAGGAAGCCATCCCGAACTGCAGATTGTTGGAAGAATATTCTGGAAAAATATCACTACCTACTTGCCTGTTCCACATTAAATATCAGCTTCTGGTTGCCATCAGAAACAAGACATGGATCAGCTGCTTCTTTGGTCCTACACACACACCCTCACGGCCTCATATTCCTACGGTATTCTGAGCAAAGGATCCATAGCATCCAGTCTTCAAACCCCAATACAATCACATTTCTCCCCCCCCAGAAAAATGCACAGGTTTGACCACACAATGGATTTCATCTGCCAGCAAAAGTGGCTTTGCCTGGGAGGAGATTGCTTTCCAAAGGGGATTTCAGCTCCAGGCTTGGAAGGACGGAGGAACACAGCTCCTGCAGTGTGACACATCTCCGTTGGCATAGGCTCATCCTCGTAGAGCCTTTCCGTCAGCGCCGGTGGTTTCTCTGCCTTTCCTTGAATAGCTGCCTGGGCAGCACTTGGCCCGTGAAATGAAAACGGCAGCTGCCATGTGGGGGCTGTCTGGCTCAGATAAAGAAAAGCCTGTGGCCCTTCTCTCGCCGTGGTTGGAGAGAATTCAAACAGAGTAATTAACACTGAGTGACCTTATTCAATGGCTGCTGGAAACACCTGGGAGGAAATAGTGTCCAGACCCTTCTTGGCAGATGGAGGACCGTAGCCCAACATCCACACCACCAGCAGTTTGCCCTTCCAGTCCTCGCCTGGATAAGGGCTGAAGATGGAAAGAAGATAGAGATGTCTGTGAGGCATGGTTGGGTCTCACTGCAAGAGCAGGGCTGAAGGAAGCATAGAAACTGAATCATGGAATCACAGAATGGTCTGGGTGGGAAGGGACCTTAAAGCCCATCCAGTGCCACCCCCTGCCATGCGCAGGGACACCTCCCACCAGCCCAGGTTGCCCAAAGCCTCATCCAGCCTGGCCTTGAACCCCTCCAGGGATGGGGCATCCACAGCTTCTCTGGGAAACCTGGGACACTGCCTCACCCCCTGCACAGGAAAAATGTAAAACCACGGTGTTGTCCCCATCACCACATCTTCAGACAGGACCTGTCCCCTTGCAAAGTTGTGCAGGTTTATTCCAAGGGCTGGTATTAGGCCATTTCAGCCTCTCTTGATTTCATGAAAGCTGGATTACTTTTATTGTGGCTTTTTCTCCTAAGGAGGTGAAGAAGAAGTGGAAGAGGGTGGGTTCCTGCCCAGAAGGGACAAGTCTTGATGACTGTGGACAGAGCCACCATCTGATGGTGGAATGACTGTTCCACCATCTGGAGAGCATAACTTTAAATGAGTTTAATAGTGGTTTCAGTTTTGAATACTAGAACAGCAGGAGAAGGATTATTTCAAAGCCATCCTGGCTGCAGGCAGAGTCCTTCCACCACACCAGGCTTTGGAGGAACCCATCCTTCCAGGGTGGGTTTATCCAACAAGACACTTGAGCCTCTTGTTCTTTGTAACCAATGATTTCCTGACGGGATGTCAATCTCTTCTCAGGTGTTGGGACTTGAGTGCTGGCAATTTAAAATGGATTATTCAGGTGCCCATCCTGGCAGCTATCGTGGTGAGTACTGGCTGGTTCCGAAGGGTGGGAGGCAGTGTCTTTGGTCAGTTCAGGTTTAGTGGGAAGAGTTGAGCCAGGCTGCCCTTCTCTGATCACCCTGTTAACCCAGTTCCTGCCTTAATAGTGTGGAGTCTCTGTATATCCACTTTAAGGACCTTATATTTGACCTATCTGTAAATTTGATGGCTGCATATGGCAGAGACGTTCTTGAGGAACTTCAAGTTTTGTTTAGGAGAGAAAAATTACACAGAGGCAAGACCCTGAAATCATTAAAGAAACTTCAAACATCAAAAAAATTAGTTCAAGCCAATATAACCAACCCACGTGATACTGGAAACCGTCAAGGGTCTTAACATGTTCTCACCAGTTATCTCCAGGGGGAAGAACTGGAATTTGGGTTCTGTATCTGGACCAAACCTTTTCCCTTGGTGTGCTTCAGTGTCATCAGATTTTTTCAGACTTGTCTTTCTGAACTGATGAAAGCCTGGAGGTGGGGGTGAAAGTTAAACCATCCCAGCTATGATCAAGCATGACGTTAGTCATTGACAGAAGATCACTTCAGCCCCCACCCAGGAGCCAGAGGGGACAGAAAGGATATAAGTGACATTATCCAGAGACAGGACTGAGCTCTCACAAGCTGGAGAGGTCATTATAATCTGTGATTACATGCAGAAGGGGAATTCAGTGGGTGGTTATGTCTTTGCTTGAGCAGGATCCGAAATAGCTTGAGAACGTGCTTTCACAGCTTTCATGAATTACCCTCTTTCTCCTTCTGTCTTTCTCTATGGATCTCCATAACTCCATCTTCTGATGGTTAGACAAGTGCATGTAAAAGAGCTTTTCCACTCCCACCCATCCTACTTCCCCTGTACACTCATCCGCGAGTAGCCGAGTGGCGTCAGCAAGGATCTCTCCATAGTCTTCAGAGGGTTTTGTATCAGGCTCTGTACACTTCCTTCTGACTCACAAATCAGGAGGCCTTGGAACATGATCAGTGTGGGTGAGAAGAAAATCAGACCGTCTCCATACAAACAACAGGAAAGTTTTGGAGGTGAATATGCTCCTATGTGCAATTAGGTGAGGTGCTTTGAACCTGGGAGAGGGGCTTTTTACTTCATCAGAATTTCCTTTCAGTGAAAATTCTCCACCTGGCTCTAGCAATTAGTTCTACACCTTGGAAGAAACAAATCACCAAGCCCACATCGTGGTCATTGGAAAAGAAATGGTGGGATGGAGGAGAAATTTCAGATAGCTCAGTGAGATGAATGCCAGCAACCCCATTGCATTTAATTTAAAGCCCAATTAGCAGAGGAGAAAGAGCTCAATTGAGGCTCGTCCTTGTAAAAATAATGTTTCTCCGTGAGGCTCTGCTGTGCTTGTACCCTGGCTATTTGCAAATGCTGCTATTTATCACGCAAAAATATTCTGTGGGTTGTTTCTGTTTAATTTCTGTGGGTTCGCATTGTTCACTTGGCTGCCTTTTCAATTCCCACACTGGCTGGTCATATTTTGCTGGACTTAGTTCTGCGTTTTCTGGATGTACTTGCAGAGAATTTGGAGGCTGAGGGGCTTAAAATCCCTCTACTCTCCTGCTAACTTTGATGTTACCCTGTTGTCTGAATTTCTTTTAAAACTTAGCGTATGTTTCAGGAAATCAGAGGAGTTTCCCTCTTGACTGCGATAAGGTTGAACATCTTCAGTTTAGCCAACAAATGCAGAGCAAGGTCCCACTTTTGAGCCTTTGAAGCTACAAAAACTCACATGAGAAACAAAGCCTGCCTTTTTTTTTTTTTTTTTTCCCTTTCAGACTGGTTTCCAGTGAAAATGAGTTCTATGCCCCCAGGCTGCGTGCTTCCCTGCCTGTCGGTCTGTCCATCCCTCTCTTTACATCTTTTGAGCCAGTCAGTAAATTCCAACCAAATGTAACTAAGGGAGTGGGGTTGCATGGATGTTAAATTCCCACAAACTTCATGAAAACAGTCAGATAGATAGGGGAGAGAAATTCTACTAATGCCCCTCAAAGGGAAAGGGTGCATTACGACCTTACCCCCTTTTTAACACAAAAAAGAGCTGTTCAAAATGAACTTGCACCTCGTTAAGAGAGAAGGAATCCAACCACAGAAGACAAAGCCGTAGCAAACCAGGCGGTGTTGGTTGAGCAGCTCAGGGAACTACTTGTTTTAACAGTGAGGATAATTAACCGTTGGAATGACTTACCAATGGTTGTGGTAGGATCTCCGTCACGGAAAGACTGAAACTCAGATCTGCTATAGCTCAAACAAAAATGAGCACAAGGGAGGTCTTATGGGCTGCATTTTGCAGGAGATCAAACTAGAGGTTCACAATGGCCTCTTCTGGTGTAAAACTATGAGCCTGTGTGTGGCATGGTAATTTGTTTCCTTGCAATGCTGCTATACAGGCGTCTGAGAAGTCAAAGGGCGCTGCAAGCCTCCAGAGAAACCCATAGCCATCAGCAACAGCCCAGCAACACGGATCTGCCCAGTGCAGACTGTTACACAACGGTTCTGCTTGTGGCCTTGCCGTAGACCCAAGAATGGGTTTGTCTGGGGCAGCAGCAGGTGTAATCCCAGCCCCAGTGAAACCCACCTCTGAAGAGCTCCAAAAAGCTGGGAAACCAGACATCTCCCCATTTTTCGTCTCTGTTAAGTGGCAGTGTAGCCACGAGATGTTGCCATTACCTTTTGCTGCATAGGTCATCGTGAGCATGTTCCTGTGGGAGCAGAGTAGCTCGCTTGAGGAGCTGGCCATAGATGTGGCTCCCTGCATGGGAAGTGGACACTACTTCCTTCATGTCCTTATCTGGTCCGTACTAAACACTCCTCCAGAGCGGGAGTTAGCAGCAGACATACAACAGAAGTTCTGCAGTGATACTGTCCTTCTCCATTCTTGATCTGTCACCTCTAGTTAGGTCTACTCTGTGTCATGGTACAGTTTGCTTCTTCTTCCTTCCTTTTGCACATGGAAACATGGAAAGACATCCTGCTAACGCTTCTCGTAGCCTGGGGAGATCTTAATCTTGGGTGGGCTGACAAATATAACCTAATTTTGCTCTGCTCTCTAGACCTCAAACTAAGTTTGAGAGGTTTATGAGGCCATGAAAATGACCCATATCACTGTATGGAGTTTTGAAAAAAGATTATGTGAAAAATACTGAGAGTTGGAGCTGCCTTATATAGAATCACAGAATCATTAAGGTTGGAAAAGACCTCAAGGATCATCAAGTCCAACCCAACACCACCCAACCCACTAACCCCCATCCCCAAGCACCACATCTACATGTTTCCTGACCCCTCCAGGGATGGTGACTCCACCACTTCCCTGGGCAGCCTGTTCCAATGCCTCATCACTCTTGCAGTGAAGAAATCTTTTCTAATATCCAGCCTAAACCTCCCCTGGTGCAACTTGAGGAGGTTAAACCCAGTTATCAGGTGTCGGCTGGGATGGCTAGCTCAGATGTCAGTGTGGAGCTGGGGAGCTCATCCCTTCTACAAGACAAGCTCTCCCAGGAGGAGCTTTGACCACAGAATGATCAGATCACTGCACAGGCCCTTGATTCATCTTGGGGAAAGCACTGACTAAACAACACCGTTGTCATCTGGATCTTTTTTAACAGTTATCCTTTCTTTGTTTTGTTTTGTGTTTTTTTCTCCCACCTCTTCCAGGTAAATTTTATTCTTTTTATCAATATTATCAGAGTCCTAGCAACCAAGCTACGAGAGACGAATGCAGGGAGGTGTGACTCAAGACAACAGTACAGGTGAGTCACGTTCCCTCTCCACTTTTTGGGAGATGTTCAGCTCCTTATTTTACCCCCTTGACTACAGAGGGAGCCCAGGATGGCTGGTTCATGATGTCTACACTGTAGACACCTAAGATAAGGTGAGAAGAATTCTGTCTTCTAAGTCTGGTAATGCAGAATGAATCAATAGCAGTTTAAACATCTCCTAAACCTTTCAAATCCAATCTGGGGGACCTGCCTCGTAGATTAGAGAGAGGAATTCAGTTTCTTCAGCCAGTTTGGAAGTGGTTGTGCTGGCCTTGAACCAAGAGCACAAAAAAATAAAAGCATTGCCTATGCGGTTGAAGCCCCTAAAACTTGTACCAATTTATTTATTTCTATTTATTTCCCTCCTGTGCTTTGTAAAACTTGGTTTTTTTGGTCTGTTTGGTGTTTCAGCGCTTTTGCTCAAATGAAAAAAAAACATTTCTGACTCTGCTGGAAATCTGGCCATTCCTTGTTTGTTTTGTTTTCCTTTGTTCTGCCAGCTCTTCTCTCTTGATAATTTAGGATATTTGTAGCATGGTCAAAAGTGAAGAGAAAAAGCAGATTGCTGAGACACCTCAGCTGCTTGAGAGCTCCTGAGGCTTCTCATAGTCTCCAGAGCTGGACTGACCGGCGTGACACAGGCAGAGGGGGGAGAGCAGAACGATCTGGGCTGCAAACCATGAGCTCATTGCTACCATCTTACTCTCCGAACACAGGACGTTTCATTCGAAGCAGGAA